TTATATATTGTGTGTGTGTGTGTGTGTGTGTGTGTGTGTGTGTGTGTGTGTGTGTGTGTGTGTGTGTGTGTGTGTGTGTGTGTGTGTGCGTGTGATACACGGAAAGAATAGTTTTGTTAAAATATTTAAAAATTTAGTCGAATAAAAATTTGAAAATAATTTTACTAAGCATTCAAAATATTTATTTACGACGTTGAACTTGGTTATTAGCATATAAAACATTTTTGCAGTATTATTAAGATGTTTAAATTTTATATACTTTATTGTTTTAGTACAAATATTTTTATATGTATATATAACATTTTTGATACTTCAACAAAACTATTTTTTCCGCGTACCGAAATTAAAAATGTTATTTATGTATCTTTCATAATAATTTAATAAAAAATATAAGCAACAAAATATAATAACTCATCAAAGAAATCAAAGATATAAGTATTAATAAAGATATTCACATTATTAACAAAAATATAATAAAACATGATACCTTTATATGATGTAATTTTGTCATTATATTATTGTTCTTATTTTACGATATCGACAAGTCCAATAACCATGATAATATTGTTAGCAAAATTGAAATCGCAACTTTACAGAATTTTAAATGACAAGCTATAAGAAACTCAAAAAATTCTAGCTATGTGATAAGATAAAAACTATGCAATATTGTTTTCTGTGTCAAAAATATTTGTTCCATAATTTACATAATAATCATGTTGTGTTCCGCATTTAGTTTTATGTTAATATTATTTATATAATTCTTTGTTATAAAATTTGAATTCAAAACGTAATAATTGTCAAAGTTATCATAGGTATTAATTTTGTAAAGTAGGATTGTTGCAAATTGTTGCAGAATTAATGTGTATAAAATAATGCACATGATATTACTATCAGGATAAATCATCACAATTATTTTAATTAATTGGTCGTTATCTTGAAGCTTGAATATCTAAAATGATCTTATCTGTCGTCTTTTTTAATTTCTGCTGTTCAAATATAAGGAAAACGTATGTCAAATTTACTTTCGTGCAAGTACAATAGTATCAACTCAAAATTTACTCACCACACATTTAGAGATAGCTCACATGTAATTATTAATAAATAATTGTTATTCCGTTGAATTGTACTTTCACTGAACTTATCTAAAATATTATAGGCAAATATTATTATAGAAATATACCTATATATCTTATATATATCATTATTTGTGTTAGATTTTCGACACGATTTGATATTATATTTTTTAAGAGAAAGTCTATTTGATATATTAACGTTATGACATGAAATCACGATAATAATATAAATGTTATAAATGTTGTCGTACATTTCGTTATTAGTTTAATATAGTCCAAAGTTAAAGCTTATAGATGAGAAGATTAACGGAATAATGCGTAGAACTTATTGAGTTTGCTATTTATATTTCTAAAAGTTCGAAGGGGTACCTTATCTCGATATGTCTCGAAATTTATCGAATATTTCACCAACTTCAACAATTTCGATATTTTGAAACATTCATATACGATACTTTATGAAAGCCGTACAGAATATTTATGTATACTTATGCAATATATAAGTTTATATATAAGTTTGTCTTTTCTTTGTTTGTAAAATGCTTACCGATCACAAAATTTGAATGCATAGAAATTACCTTTTGTGAAATAATCTTATATAAAAACCTAATATAAGTTAATTTTTTATAAACAAAATTGTCGTGAATCAATGTACGTATAATTAAAATAAAATGTACACTGAGAGAAACGTTCTGTTTGTAAATTTAAAAATTTGGCTAGATGCAGATTTAAAAGTCCGAAAAGATCTAATTTTGTTAAACTATCAAAATTATTATGGATCTATGATAATATTGTAAAAATTTTTTATTCATTGCATTTCTTATTTATTGCTTCGAACAATTCGAACATCATGCTTAAATAAAATTGGTGCCAAGATAAATTGTCATATTTATTTTGATTATTTAATTGTTTATATATATATATATATATATATATATATATATATATATATATATTTTTTTTTTTTCTATATACACATTCTAAAACAGTTGTATTTTTATTAATATTTATGGTTATTTTAGATTTAGGATACTAGACAGCAAAATTTAATTGCGCGTTGTAACAATTATCTTTTAAAGTTACTCTATATAAACTTTTGAGGATATTTCAATTTCAATAGCAGAAGAAGTAGAATCGCAAAGAGGTCTAAAAGAATTACAAAGAAGTATATAAATTATATATTTGTTTCCATCAATTTAAAAGTCCACATTTTATTTGCTGCAATTTATATAAAAATGCCATAGTTATTCACAACATAGTTATTCACTTGCCAGTTATTCAAGAATTTCCCGATTGCAGTATTTACGTATATATATTTTGAAATTAGCATTGTTATGTAACTTCTAACATATTATATCAAATTTCAATATAGAAAAATAATATATTAGCAAAAATATTAAAAAATTAAAAAAATATATGATTCAATATACAAACCTTTTTTTGTTTATTAAATTTATTTAATTTGTACAATATCCGATTTTAAATACTTGAAATACTTAAAATACTTGAAAAAACAGGATTTAGCACAATAATGAAATAATTGATTTCTGATGTGATATTATATGCAAATTTTGAAAGTATTCGAAAGTATATTGATTATTTTTCTATCCATTAAACATATAAATATGTTTCTTTTTCTTTTATTTTTCTTTTTATTTCCTTCCCTCTAAATTCCATTTTTCTCTTCCGCTAAAGTTATTTTGACACATTCTTTAAGTTTTATTTCTTGCATCTAAAAATGACAATGTAATAAATTTACTTTTTAATGATTTAAGATATGTTCAACTTTAATATTTGCAAAATTTTATTTTGACTTAAAATTTGATTTCTAATTATTATTAAAACATATATAAAATATATTGAACATATAATACGTATAGAAAATATAAAAAAATAATCATCAAATTATCAATAGAAATGAAAGGATCATGTTAAGGAACATTTATTTCTATCGCGTTTATCATATTAACAAAAGAAATTGGTTGACATCATTAATAATATATCGCTAACAATTTCAATTTATTATTGCAACATGCAAATCATTTGAAAAAGATCTCATTGCCTGCTGCAATATTTTTCAGTTATCACCAATAATTACTTCACAAAAGTAACAATATTCCTAGATATCTTAGAATGATTATAGATATCTATTTTATATTCATAAACTTATTTTACATATTTGGAACATATCGAGCAGCGTATTTTAGTTGCATAAAATAATATCTCTTTTAAAAAAAAACTGAATTTTAGAAACAAATTCCGAGAAAAGCAAAATAAGATTGTAGCGTTTCTGTACTGTATAAAGCAAACTGTATGTAAAGATAATGTTATTGAAAAAATAAATAAGCACATTTAATTAGTTACTAATTTTGGAATTATAAATACGATACAAACTTATCTTTTTAAATACGATACTTACTTATCTTTTGTCATAATCGATTAATTCACTACATAGATAGACAGAGAGAGAAAGAGAGAAAGGCAGAGAAAGAGAGGGGAATAATAATTTAAAATTTCATATTGTATATATAAAATTAATAAATTTACTTACTAATCGTTTAAAACTCTGCCAAATCTCCTTGAACATTTTCGTATATGAGTTCAATTCAATAAGGATTCATAAAATTCAATAATTCCTTTATTTCACAGCATTGAAATATACCATAAAGTCATTATTATATCAAATGTAATCAAGATATGAAAAATAGTAATCCACGTGTCACTATCTATTTCCATATTTATTGTAAAAAAATAAATGAAGAAAAAAGAACTCGGGTTAAAAATAAGCACTATATATGCAACTTATTATCACAACTCGTGACTCGTGCAAACTTGAGAGAATTCTAGAAAACAGATTCGACCTGCCTCGTATCAATGTTTCGTAGAAATTAACGAATTAACTTCATCAACAAGCTTTCGAGAAACGATGTCCTCTGATGTTTATATTTACGTTTCAAATGCCTGGCATACTTGTACATATGATATCAAATATGAAATTCGAACGTATGTCCGAAATAAAAAATTGGCAAGTGCAAATATGTGCTGCTAAAAAAGCTTTACGATAAATTGAAATACGTAATTGTGGAACTATTTATTTATATTCAGATAACAAATGCAAGATTCTAAACCGCACGCAGTCACATGACCGATTATGAGACACACGAGGCTACATCAATTAAACAGTGATCACGTGATAACCGTAGCAAACAATTACACAATCGCAAATTATATACGTTGCGTTTTTTCTTCATTTATTTTTTTACAATAAATATGGAAATAGATAATAACACGTGGATTACTATTTTTCATATCTTGATGCTTACATTTGATATAATAGTGACTTTATGATATATTTCAATGCTGTGAAATAAAGGAATTATTGAATTTTATGAATCCTTATTAAATTGAACTCACATACGAAAATGTTCAAGGAGATTTAGCAGAGTTTTAAACGATTAGTAAGTAAATTTATACAAACAATGCATATCAATAAATAAATAATAAAAATTAACATAATATTAATTATAATAGTGATGACAAAAATAATAATATTAATAATGAAGATGATAACGTAATAGCAGACCATTCTTATCGTTTTCTATCAGGCATTGTGTTAATATATTTTCTAATTTGTCATAAGTTAAGTAACATCACATATATAATTCAAATAGATCTTTAAATAATATTTATTTATTATAAATAATATAAAAATAATTAGTTGAGATTTAAATAAATGAATTTTATTGCTAAAATGTATTAAAGAAATTTTTTTATATTTAACTTTGAGATAATCTATTTTTTACAATTTGATATATTAAAAATATTGAGGGCGAAAATATCGTGTTATCACTATAATAGTAATACGGTAATAAAATTAATTGCAAGCATTTAAACATTTTGGCATCGCTTCTACTGATAAAGGCTTTCCTTTTCATTTTGCATGTATTCAAAGTTGTCAGATAAATTTTACAAAATAATGTAATTTTCTTTTTATTAATATTTTTATTAATAAAGATAAATAGTAAATAATACTTAATTAATCTTTCTCTCTCTCTCTCT